GCGGGCCCCGGGCCCCCAGCGCCAGCGCCTGCCCCGCGCCCACGCAACCCCGGAGCCTTTGTATCTCCGCTTTGCCGAGCGCGCCTGTTCATGAATGAACGTGGAGCTTGTCTCTTGCTTTTCCTGCGTTTTCATTGCGCTAATGCGGCGAATTACACGATTTTCAGATGTTAAACCGGCCTTGGCCTGCTGTGCTGTGAACCCTTTCACACCGTCTCTCGTGTATTGCTGGACTCGCGCTGCTGATAGTCAGGGTTTTTTCCCACCTGTGCTCCCGACCAGGTGCACGCGGGCCATTCCGGGCCACAAAGCACCTTAGCAATAAAATCTAACTCATACAGAAGGCATCTTACTACATCAGTAAAACAGTAATAGCAGAAAAACACCTCTAAATAACCCAGTGGACAAAGGGCAAGTCTGCAGGAAACCAGAAAGTATTTTGAACAGAATAAAAGTAAACGAAGCTCAGGGGATGTTGGCCAAGCAGCAGAGAAGTCGTTCAAGTGCTCATGTCAGAACAGAACAAAGTTCTCAGACGCGCTAAGCCTCCACCTTGGAGAACCCGGAAAATACACCACACTGAAGGCAGTAAGAGCAGAAATCAATGAAGTAGAAACAAACGCTGCAGAAAAATAAAACCAGTTAGTTCTTTAAAAAGACCAATGATGTTAATAAACTTCTAAACAGACTAACCAAGAGGAAAAAATAGTAAATATCAGAAATATCATTACAGATCCTACAGAAATTACAAGGCCAATGTGACAACTTTTATGAAAGGGACTGATTCCTTAAAAGACACAAGTAACTGAAACATACAAAGAAAGATAGGACCCAAATAGTTCTATATCTACTTAAGAAACTGGATTTTAAAGTTAAAAACCTTGCAATTAAGAAAATTATAGAACCATATAGTTCTACGGCAAACTTCTTTGAAAAGCTTAAGAAAAAATACCTGTCCGTAACTCAAGAAAAGATGACCTCCAAGTGTGCCCCTTATTAACACTATTTCATTAAACACACACACACAGAGGAAAGAAAAGCAGTTTGTGAGACAATAGGGTTTATTTAGGAAGTGTCCCAGAGCTTTCATGCAAGGCTGCCCTGCACAGTCTGCAGGAAGCAGTCACAGCAGAGGGAGCTGACATGGGTCACACAGGGAGCTGGACTCAGGCAAGACCCCAACCCGGTGACCCAGGTGTGTGGCTACTTATGGCCCCCCTGAGGAGGAAGGGTTCTGAGCTCAAAAACAAAGATCCAAGAGTGGTTCCAGATTCACACAAAAACACCTTGTTTCTGAGGGCAAGGTGGGTAGGGGTTTCCCCACAGGACTCTGAGGCCCTGCCACCTACCCGCCCACTACCACAGGAATTCAAGGCCAAAAAGCCAGCCTCTGGTGGGAAGAGGGGAGGGGAAAGAACTGAGGTAGCAGATGGGCTGAGTACCATGGCCTGGGCTGCCTGCGGGTGGGCCCTTCTCCTCTCCTCCTAACATATCCCCCCATGGGGGAGCAGGGTACCATTATGTGCTCTGCTGGTAAAC